ACGACTGCTTTTTGAAAGCACTTAAAAAAATAAAATTATAAATTATGGAAAAATATGTGTACTTCAATAGTGTTAATATCTAGCTGTAAACATTTCTTTTCCTAAGTAAAAATAGTTCTAATAATGTGAAATTAAGTGCTACGAAACAAAAAAGCATATTTTAGACTTAAATAGGGATCAATTTGAAGTTAATAGCTTTTTTAAAGTTGACTCTAAAGTGGAAATAAGTGTCATATGTGGGATTGGCCTGTTTTCATTATACAACCTGTTTCAGCTCCTGTAAGCTTATATGTGCTTAAACTATCTCTACAGAAACCCATACTGCAAAGCTGTCAATATTAGAGAGCTTGGCAGCACAGATTTACTGCCCTCCTTGCTCTTAGGAATGACAGCCTGATTTGGTTCTGCCTGTAAAGTCTTGTCACGGGGTGAAAAAGGAAGGCAGAATAAATCACTCTTACAATTAGATAGCTCACTAAGCTTTTCCAATAGTTTCCTCTCCTATAAGACATATTATCTTCATATCCTATCAGACTCCCTTGCCTGCAAGTTATCGTTATGGAGTAGGGAGACTAATGGATTCTGTTCCTTGTGTTGCAGTCCCTGCTCAACAGTTACCCATGCAAGCACCCTGGAAAGAGCAAGCAGCACAGTTTGGATGAGTTTGGATACTCTATAATATTCCTACGAAGAAAGCTTCACCCCCTCCATTGTTTTGATACAAAACTTCAGGCTGAGTCGAGAGAGTCAGTTCCAGCAGGAGTTTGATACAGCTGAACATGCGTGACACAGCGATGGTAATCTTCTATCACAGCCTGATGCTCAGAGTGTTAGTCACCCGTAACAAAGCACTGAGAAATGAAGGCAGGCAGGCAAATAAAACCAGAGTGATCTACTGAACACAAGGGCTTGGAACACAAGATGGGAAAGAATTGCTCCTGTTGCAATGACAATACTTTTAATTATATATAGTCAATGAAAAATAAACTATTAGAGAGAGAATAAAATACTTGCAATTAATGGAAGTAATGTAATGTTCAAACTTAAATGAAGTATTTTTCTCTTGGGGGTTTTGCTGTACTATTTTATTTAGCTTAATGTAATTTAAATTATAAACAGAATGGTTTTGTAAGCCCCTAGAGAAATGTACTTTATTTATAATGTATTTCCTTTGAAGTGGTTGTGGAAATCATGCTCTTCCTGAAGTCTGCATTTCACATACCACCTACAGCTGCAAGCTAGTCAGCCCTCACAATTTAAATGTGACCTGTCTGGTGAAGTGCATTACAAAAAAACCTGAGATTTTTCTTAAATGACAGAGGAAATAAAAATTTGTAATTCTGCTAACTAATAGTCTTCCTTTCAAAAAAGGTTATTGAAAGATCTTTGTTGATAAAAGTTGTTTTTTCAGAGGGAATGGAACTCAGACATAGTCACTTCACTTGAGTTTTTAATGCACGTAATGAAAGAATAATTGTTTATACTATACCCTAGAGAGAGTTTCAGCTGGGAAAAATTATATTTTGTATACTTAAGTTTAAACACACAAATATTTCCATCTTTCATTTAAATAAAAAATCCTTATAAATTTAATTCTAGTACAAAGAGCAGACTTTCTTTAAGGAGGAAAATTACAAACGCTTAGTTTGTGTCACATTTATCCTCCAAGTAATTAAAGTTATTTATTTACACATAAATAAGTAGCTATGAATGAATAAATGGAACCCCATTCTATGTGCTCCCCTCACCATCAATAGCTACAGCATCGAATTGGTGAAATAACTGAACACAAAGAGGAACTTGTTTCTAGAAAATTAATTTTGGCCATTATTCATCTTTATAAAGCATAATAGTACCTTACCCTCATGGATGAGCAGCTAGCTTAACATGCCAGCACAGACACACAACAATCTGAGCTGTGATGTTTCTCCTGAAATAACATCATTCTAAGTCACTTCAAAGGAAATAGACAATTAAACACTGCAAGTGTTTACACCATGATTGCATGACAGCCACAGTCACAGACTGCATGTGCTTTGAAATGACCCTTCCTTTTGTCAAATTTACTCTTCTACTCTAAACTACTACCAAAGTGGATAAATAAATAAACAAACAGAGAAATAAATTAAAATACAATTTTTCATTAGTATTGGATTAAGAGCTTGAATAATTTTTCAAGGGGTAATATATAGGAGCAAATTTTTTTTGTAATTACTCTATAAAACAGACATCAGTGCTCTGGTGTTAATTTCTGATTGAGTTGGTAGATTTTATCAATATCACAAAGCAGGCAGATATTTAAATCCATTAAAATATTTACAATCAAATTTATGAACAAATATGAATTAATCTTTACTGTTGTAGTAACGAGTGATGCAGAGACCCCAGGCAGGTGCAAAAGAGTGCTGTTTATTGCCAAAAACCCGGCCTTTTGAAGCAGTTAGCAGGTTATCAGTTTACACAGTTTGAAGGCACAACAAGTCCAAGTGAGCCCACCACCATACAGCACATCTCTCACGCCTCCTATTCCAGCTGAGTCCATCTCTCTGTACTCCTATTCCAGCTGAGTCACTCTCCCATAGCTCCCTCCTACTTAGCCTAAGTAGCAGGCTGGAGCCATGGATCAAGGCCTTCCCTTTATAAAGCCTTACCTATTGGCAACATTTTAAAAATTGGGTTTTTTAAAATAACCTTTCTCCTTTCTCCATATACTACTGTACAAACCTTTTAAGAATAAACATAAACACGAGAGCAGCCAGTCCTGTGGCTCAGGTCAGGATGGTTTGCTGTATTGGGAGGGGGACACAATGGGACTCTCTCTTTTTCCCTTTTCTCATGGAAATGTATGTTTGTTCTCTTTGTGTGGCTTCTCAATCTAAAATAAAAATCACCCCAAACAGAATTCATGTTTCCATCTTTGTTTGGAGAAGACCTGGATCAGCCGTGAACAGGCAGTGGGACTTCCTCCTGGATCAGGTTGAGTCACCTGAGAAAAGACTCCTTTGGAAACGCCCCTGGATGAGAATTGTGCAGTTTGGTGTTTGCTTCCACTTTCCCAGACCCTGCTTTTCTTAGATCAGACATCATCCATGAACTCGTATCCATGTAACTTTCATTATATGAAAGTTACACCAACTGTGTTAGAAATTGCACAATTGCTCTAAATTGTTTTAGAGATCCAAGATGTGCCACAACCTTTGCAAAGATCTGCGCTCTGCTGAAAGCTACTCAAGCACAAGTACTACTTGCATTACATGACAAATGCACATCATAGTGACAATCATCCTTGCATTTGAGGCAAAATTTTAAGATTCTGGCAGCCCAGTCTAGATAAGGTATCTGTGCTAAGCAAGATAATACTGTTCCTTTTGATGAATACAACATGTTCAGCACAACTGATAAATTCTGTTTACTGCTCTGCACACTTGTGGGTAATAAAGACCATTACTTTATTATTTCCTTTTAGATATGATCCCTTAAGATGTAGCATGACAGTACAGTGTAAATCTAAAGCAAACCATCATATTTATTTGCATGAATGGCTTTGTTGCCATTAATTTATTATCAAGAAAAAAACTCAAACAACAGATATCAATCCCTGGCTTTTCTGAAAATGGATTATATGGTGCTTTAACATTTCTTTTTTGGCTCACTGTTTACACATGGTCACACCAGAGTCTACGTGATAAATATTACATGTCTGTACAGGAAGAGAGACGTGGACAGTAACAAAATGTACAGAAGTTAACTTTATGATTTTAAATACTTTATTACTTTCCTTTCAGACTAAACTGAGCACAGTTCCAGTTTCTTTCAGGTATCCTGAAATTTGGCATTAATTATAAAATTTTCTGCAATGGAACAGTTGTGCCACTGACACCTAAAAAAAAGATATTCTCTCATTCTCCTCAGACTTGATACCCTCTCCAGCACAATAAATGTCTTTTGGGATTGCTTCCCTACCCATCAGTTACAACTGGGAAAGACTCTAGATACTCAAAACAGAAAATACGAATCTCCTTTTTCCATTCTGGAGATAGCAAGATATTTATGAATTAAGATCACTTCAATTTAATTTTCACCACCAAACAGGAAACATATGTTTTCAGTTTTTGTTAACAGAAATACTGCCATCCTAGGCAAATAAAAGAAAATAAGTAAGGAATCCCAAACCACAACCTTTCGCTTTTTGCAAAATACCTGAAAAACATCTAATGAAATCTGGATTGTGCTCAACACAACATGAAATGCAGCTGTGTATGTAACAGCATGCAATATACCTTGTCATAATGTCAGGATAAAAAATTAGGTATAAACATTGTTACAGGATTCATTTGAGGCACCTGTTGTAAAACTGAAGCCATAAAAAATTCAGCCAGCACACTCTGAAGATGCTTCACTCAGATGACTTAAAAACCTTCTGCAGACAGAACTGAGTGAATGAAGTCTCAAGATGTTCCAGAAACAACCACAATAAACTTTCAATGTCACAGTTCCGAAAGAGAATGTGAGGAGAGCTGTTTCTTATGTGCAGAGACTGTGCCAGCATGTGTAAATACAGGCCATCTAAACCAGTCTACACACCCAAGTTTACAGCTAATTCCATAAAATTAGAAATGCAAACCAGGGTAGATCTTTTACAGTGTAAGGAATGCAAAAGAAACACCGATTATAATGTAGACATAAACCCTGCAGCTTACCAATTCATGTGAATTATCTTAAGTGCCACTGCAACTGAGACATAAAACAGCATAGCATACAAGGGACAAAGCACTCAAGAGACAATAAATGCTGGCAATTTAATCGGAACAATTTAGTCCTTTGCCTAGGTCTGCTAGCTCAGAGGGAGGTGACTTGTTGAAACTAAATGCAACTAGCATATCAAAACAAAAAGGAAAAATACACTTTTCAAGAAATGGAACATAAATCATTGGATTCACAGCTCTTCTATAGCAAACTGAATTATCCATGCATGTAAACCTGTTCAGCATAGCTCTTACCTGGCTAGCTCTTATTTTGGTGGCTGTAGTAACAAGAAGCTCAATGTTTACTTTCTGCTCCAGAACTCATTCAATTTCTCTGCTGGGTTTTGTGCCTAAGCTGAAATTTTCACCACTGCAGCTGCTACTGGAGTTACCCTACAGGAATGATGGGGTATCACCTGTTGCCAGCACCTGCAAGTACTTAAAACAAGAATACCAAACACATTGTGACATACGGCACAGTCTATTTTTGTGCTTCTGTTGACAATAAAACTCATAAAAAAGTTTCAGGGTCTTAATGATATTAGAGTCCATAAACTCCAAAAGACCCTGATTCCACAATGTGAGCATTGTTGCCAAAACCCAGATGTTTTCCAATATGCTGAATACTTTTACAGTTATAGTGTGGATATAAATAGGGTTTATTGAATTTTACCTACATGGTCCAGTGAGGATCATCAGAGCAGCTAGTTGGACCAGACACTGTAATTCTGTGAACTCCTCTTTTGGAAACAAAACTGGTACTGTGTCAGCATGTAGGCTGTGAACAAAACAAAAGATGGAACAATTACTAAAGAAGATTTTAAAAACATGAGGAAAGCACAGTCATATAAACTAAAAGGCCTAATTTGGAGCAAGACAATTTTTTAAAATATTTTTTATTGCCAAATAATACTGGTTTGGGTATTTTTTTCTTTCCCCCCCCCCCCCCCCCCCAATCTGAGAGGCCTAGTTGGAAATAAAGCAACTCAAGCAAAATTTCCACCACTTTCCTGGGGATCTTATTATTTTAAGGCTACAGCAGCATCAGCAAGCAAACTTGTGTAGCTTGTGTCTGAAAATGGACATCTCCAGCACAGACGAATGATGAGCCCATTCAGACCAAGGAGCAGGTCACCCAAAAGGTAGCATTAAGAACTGGGGTCTCCTTTTCTCCCCCAAATTATGCAGTCTTTCAAGCTAACGACTTTAGAAAATTGGTCAGGAATGTAATTTTTCATGTAAAAAATGTAACAGAGGAAGCAAAAATACTAATAATTAAAACCTAAACAAAACATTTTCCTCTACAGAAGTTTTAAATTTCTGAATCAGAAGCATAGGAGAAAGATTGACTGACTGCCATGTTCCATTTCATTACATATAATTAGGGCCAAGTAGAACCATGTGCCATTATTATCCCATTTATTGCCTGCCATTGCAGCCTACGGCTTCCAGACCTCTTTGAAAAACTTAAAAATAAAAGAGTGAATCTAATCAAGATGTTTCACAGTTTTTCTTAGTGTCTAAGCCTTTACCAGAAAGCCAAGGGATTTTACTCCCAGGTGTTATAAAAAGGAGGCCACAGACCAAAGAGTGAATATATTTGCTCTGCTGCATGTTCAGTTACTCAGGAAAAAAAAAACCAAAAACACCACCAAAACTCAACAGCAACAATTAGGGTGAGGTTACTAACAAAGCCGAGACTATATTGCAGTTAATTTTCAGAAGGGAAAAAAATACACATTTACTACCCTTATACATTGCTGCATGTAACACTTGTAACACACTTGCAACCCAGCACATGTAACACAGCTCTGCCTTTAATGATGAAGATCTCCCCCTCCTCTGGTAAAACACTCTCCTGGAAGAAAGCTGTTCCCTCCACTACCCCTGTACTGTCAAGAAGTGCAATGAGTTGGAGTGGAAGCCAATCTGAACACCCCCTTAAACCAAATGAACACAGGAGGGGCTGTATTTGAAAGAATGAACAGAAAGGAAACAAATCAGATTAAATATGTCCAGAACTTGTATCATCTGTCTTACAAGGAGTGCAAAACAATTCTTAGCTGGACATGTCAGTGTGGCAACCCTTTCATAAGAGCAGGCTTTGAGAAGGACCCTTACAGTCCAGGATCTATCAGATGAGAGACTATCACTCCAAACCCACTTCCTGAAAAATTTCTTTCCCTAGGCACTTCTTGGCTTAGCCATTGCACCACTAAAATGCTCTGTTCCCACCACTGCTCCTAGGCTGAGCACGCACAGGGAGTGCAGCACAAGGAAGCATTTCTGCACCAAGGGTTACGGGGCAAAGAAGGCAAAACTCCCAGAGAGAGCCACAGAGCAGCCGGGAGATCATGTGCATCATCAACCCCCTCCCACTGAAAGGGTTTTCACTCTGTAAAGCTCTGAAAGGATCTCATGGAGCCTTTGGTGCTAGAGCTCAATCTTTTGACTCAGGAAGGATGGTTCCAGACTTCTCAAGACAGCAGTTCTGATTTTAGTGCTTCATTCCAGGAATGCAGCAGTAATAATTCACTCACATAGTAAAACTCCAATTTGCACAGCATGTACCAAATTTTGTTTAATTGAGGTCCCTAGAGGTCCTTAGTGGAATGTTTACATTGTCAACAATTTGAAATAACAATGTGAATTGCTCTTAAAAAAATTGAATGTTTAAAAATTAATTGATCCATTTTTTTAAATTCAGAAAATACAAAGGTTGAAAAACTTCTCATTTACACTATCAATGCAGAAAAATAATTTAAAAAACTGCTACATGATGAAAGTTGTAAATAACTTGCAAACTTTTAAGACTGCAAAACAACTGAAAAAAGAAGTCTTTTTTTTTGGTTTGTTGAGCCTCATTTTAGTTGAGGAAATTAAGTTTCTGGCAATTAAAATTTGAATTTTGATAATTCCCCTCTCATCAATTCATTATGCTTTTAGTTAGCAAAAAACTAATTTATTATTAAGTTAGCTTCTCAAGCTATTTTCAGTTTTTTAAAAAAATTTTCCCAATAATTTTCTACTATATTTTAGTTTTATGCCATTACTACCAAGATTCCATTTTTACCCTCCTAATAATGCAGGTTGTGACTCAGAGCTTTGGAATTCATTGCCTTAATTTACAATAAACTAAGTGTCTTCAAATAAGCTTTTGCTGTTTGTATATTCAGCTACAAAGCTAATACACTCTAATCTTTATGAACAGTGATCAAGGCCTCTTGACAATCCAGCTTGTGCAGAAAACATCAAGCTCCAGTTAAGCAATCCTGCCAACAACCCCCCCTCCAAAGCCCCATGCCAGCTATCAGCATGAAGCTTGGACTTATTTAAACCATCATCAGCCACCTCTAACCTCATTTACTATGTCTGTGCTAGAAAATTTAATTTGAGGGGTGCTTCTAGGCATTGACACCTAAACTCTGCTGTAAACTGTGAGCAGGGTTTTAACTTGAGTGGGGTCTGGGAGGCAGCACTACCAAGGAATTTCAGTTAAGCTCTGAATACATGGGCACACTATGAAGAGGAGAGGACTGAAATCCGTGGCACCACCAATACAACTGGGATTTCAATACCAAAAAACCCCACAAACTGTGGTGAGGAAAGGCAGGAACCTGGTGTTCCAGGTACAGAACAGAAAAACGCATTTTATGATTTGTACAATTCCTTTCCTATATTCATGAGAAGCCATACTTAAAACAAGATGAGACTCTGTGTGCTGCCTTTAGCTTTTTATACATCTTTGATAAAATTTCACTTGAGACTAGAATGTCAGAAAGGTCTCTAAATAAGAGAAGTGCTTTTGTTGAAAGCAAAACTAAGGATACTTAAGAAATTAAGTTTCTACCCTGTTTACTTGAGAAGACAAATTTGCATGCATTGACTCTGCACATTAGTTCCTGTGCTTCACCAAGTAGGTTCCTCTCTATGAAAAATAAAATTCACAGACTGGGAAAACTTTACACATAATAAGGTAAGTATTTCACTTGAGTGTGTGTCAAGAGAGATAAAGGTGGTCTCATGTGTTGCAATCTTTTAAATGAATTATGTTCAAATTTTGCCTTGTTTTGAGGACAAGAAAAGGTCTCAAAAACTTGAGCTAGTTACATATTTTAATTTTCTTGCTGAAATAACATATTTAAAATCAACACTTTTACACATCACATTTTTTTCAACCTCAAAAATGCCTACAGAGGTACCTAAATAGATAAAAAGCATTTTAATAGTTGAATGAATATGAATAATAATAATAATGAATATGATCCTAATGCCAAAAAAAAAAAAAAAGTCAGAAAAAAGGCAGTTTCTATTTCCAGTGGACTTTAAAGAGCAGGAAACATTTTGATTCTTGAGCTTCAGACATGAAAAAGTCTGCAAGATGGAAGAAGCATCTCTGCCTTGTGCTTCTTTCAGTGGATCTCATTAGACAGAGGTTAGGTTCATTCTGGACCAAGACAATATCAAAGATGGACGGTAGAAGATTTCAACTGCAGTATTTGTACACTTGAAAAGTGCCTCCCCAGTGATATGACAGAAAAACGTGCAACATGTAGGTCATAACAGAATTTCTTTGCAGGGACAAATACGATATCACAAATTCATCCAACTTGTTCTACTTTTATTTATTCAGGATGGCTAAACCCAATAATTTAATGCTCCCTTCATTCAGTTTAACAGATATAAAAACTAATGATTAACAACATGATTTAGTACAATGCTCTTGGTGAAGACATGTCAATTCACAGTAATGTCTTAGCCAACTCTTTCAGTTGCTGAAGAACTAGAAGCCTTCATCTTAGTTTGAAGTTCTGAGGAGTACGGTAAAATGAAATCCAAACATTTCAGATATGATTTAGGTTGGTAATCTCACAGCTCAAAAATTAAGACATATGTTAAATCTGGACATATGACATTTGTTTCACTCTAGAATAGTGATTTCAGTGTTTATTGACAAAGCTGACTGCCTGTTACAGAAATACTCAGTTAGGACTGCTCAGCATAAAGGTGTTCGACTCAGTTGAGTTCACAAACAAAGCATCTCAGAAGCGCACTAGCATCTGAATAATCAGTAGAACAAGTAGCTAGGGAAGAGAAAAACATCAGGAAAAACCACTAGAAGAATACTTCAATCTAATTGCTCTATTACTTATGTTTTCTACATAGCTGGCATATAACCCAAAAAGCTTTTTAAAATTTGCAAAGTGATTAGACTCTCTTTTAGACTGTTGTTCTTCAGGTGCTTACTGATACCTGACTACTAGTGTCTCTGACAAAGATTATTATTTTACACTGAAATCTTTTAAATGTCATGAATAATTTTATATGACACTAAGAGATAATAATGGTTAAACAGAACAAAACAGGAAGCTCACTTTTTAGTATACAGTTATCAGCATTAATAATTTAGTAAGTGGTTCCATTTTAGATATCTTTACAGTTACAGGCATCTACCCCTGAGCTGTATAGGCTGCAGAGTCAACACAAGAAAACCTACAACACCAAAGAACCATTCAACCGAGCTGACATGTTTTAATTGTTGGCCTCAGGATGAGATGACGTAAGCTTTAGGAGGATCTCATGTTCCCCATCCATTATGCAGCACATCTAAATCTGTTTTGATGAATCCCTTCCTGAGTGTTCATTTCTCATGATCACATATTGGTATCCTTAATTGTTTTCACCAATCCCTTCCATCCACTGTTTAGTCTATAAACACTCTGATCCATCCAGCCACTTAGAGTGAGATTAGGCTTCACTATGGAAAAAAAATTAGGC